GCAATGAATAGAAAGATCAGCATTTATCTGAAATAAAAAGCTTTTGTAACAAGTTTTTTTGGTGGGGGAAGAAATAATAGAAATTAATACTTTTATTTAGCAAGGATGCTTTAAATTGATCAAAAGTGAAGATAAATACATTTATAATGTTACAAAAGATTTCTATTTCAGATAAATGCTGTTCTTCCGAACTTTCTATTCATCAAAGAAACCTGAAAATATTCTTCTCAGCTGTTTTCAGCATAATAATAGTAATAATAATAAATGTTTTTGAGCAGCAAATCAGAATATCAGAATGATTTCTGAACAAACATTTGACACAGAAGACTGGAGTAATGATGCTGAAATGTTTGAAACTGTTTTAATTTTTGTTTAGGACTGTGGCTGCATCACTGGCATAATTGCACAAGAAAGGCACACGTGTCGTTCAGTTTTGAGTTCGCTGGAAAATCATACTGAGTAAGTGCACAGTATAGTAATTGTACTTTTATTATGCCTAGACTATATGGTAATATTATTTGTGGTTGATAGTGTTAAAATGTAGTTTCTTTGTTATTGGCATTCTGTTTTCTCATGAAGTATGCATACTATACTAAGGTACTGTGGGGAAAAAATGCTTACAATTGTTTATAAAATTATTTTAGGACCGAATACACCACTCTTGCCTTCACCTGCATCTCTCACAGTAAGGGGACGCTCGTTCAGTTTTCAACTCCATTCAGAATCTTAGAGTAAGTGTGCATTCACTATTTTACAGATGTTACTTTCATTTGATTTATTTGCTGTATGGTAAACTATGTTTGCTATGTGGTAATTGTGTTCTTTGTTTCGATAAATTAGTACTAGTATCAGTGAACATCATAATAATGTTAATAATGTAGTTTGTGTAAACAGCATGCTTGCTTTTTTATTTCAGATGTGAGAATAACAGTGTAAAAGAACCTGTTGCAAAGAGAGCCAAAGCAAAGCAGCCCACTTGGTCATGGAAACCAGAGACTGACGTTGACATGTTCCACAGGCTCTGAGATTCCTGCCTGCACAAGAACCTGGACCACAGCTAAGACCATGTGATGCACACACTCCCATGAGTTATTTTATGTGATAGTTATATGTATTCTAAATAAACTACAAACAAAAAATATATAAATTTATTTTTTCCTCACATTCTTTCTTGTAGCAATTCCCTCTCAGTCACACACCTGACTGAATGGCTCATTATGCGGGCCTTTGTCTTCTCAGGTGTGAATCACAGCATTATGCATGATCATTCACGCCTCCTCGCATATACCTTTTCTACACAAAAAGTGTCTTAGAAAATTTTAATCAATATATTGTTTTCTGTGAATGAGTGAGTAAGATGATTTTCACATAATTTTGAAGCAAAAACTCTAGACTTCAAGATCAGTTCTCAAACGTCTTGTGATCAAATGTTCTGTATGTTTTTTATGGCCTTATTTCAGTGACTTTAAAATTGTAGTTTTTCACTAAGCACGCATAAACGTTGTTTTCTCAAAAACACAATCACGTACATACATGCTGCTCACATATTATTGTAGCCCAGTTTGTGCTGATTACAGTGTTATTAAACTTTAGACATTCAAATGTTTGTAAGCAACTGAAAAAAGCACAAATGTCAGGGCATGTCAAAAACTTTTCCAGGCACCAAAACACCCTCGGACCCCAGAGGGTTAAGTGACCCCAATGTATCTGGTAGAGAGATGGACAAATAGTACTTTGGTGGGACGTACAGGCCCCTGGGGTAAGAGCCCCATCCATTCACTCAAAGGGAGAATGGACAGAAAGTAGGGTTTTGGGAGCGACTACACTGTTTTACCCCTAAAAATGATTGAAAATGGACATTTAAAGGGTCCATGGATGGGGGGGGATGGGTCAACAGGTGAGTGTTGCCCCCAATAGGTGTCCAAAAACCCCCTATTCCGGGGGAAGCAAATCGGAGAACGCGGAATGTGGGGTTAGCAGAAACGTCCCAATTGTCCTTTAAATAACAGGCTAACGGGATCCAAATTCACCCTACGGTCCCTTCGGGTAATTATGCGTCCATTGGCAATTTATTTGAATGGGCCTTTGTCCGCGAACCCTTTAAATTTAATTTCATTTTAAAACACATATTTTGACATTTTTCCTCAGAATTGCGAGTTATAAACTCTTAATAGCAAGCACACATCTTGCAAATTTTTTTTCCCCAAAATGTTTAGTCTCCTGACTTAATCGCATGCATATGTAGAATTTTGATAAAAGTCAGAATTATGATATTTAATATTGCATTTCTGAGAAAAACAACTCTGAATTTTGCAATTGGAAGATATAAACTCTTCTGAAAAATAGTCTGATTGTGAGATATAAACTCACAGTGTCTTTTAATAATTTTATTCTGTGGTGGAAATAAGCTTCCGCACAGAACTCATGCTGATGCCGTTAGTGCTTCAAAAGAAGGGCATTCAGAAGAAGAATAGTTCTCCTGGTGAACATGATGATTTAATATGAAGAGGATCAGTCCTGCTGTACAGCATACTGTCATGCCTTCATTTTATATGTCTGAAAGTACAGCATAAAGTCTTACAGTTTGGAAATATTTGTACATTAAATATTTAAAAAATTTTGAAGAGTGAAATCATTGATTTTCTTTTATCACAGCATCACAATAGACAATAGAAGACTTCTGTGATGTTCTGTGGTTTTAGTTGGTTTGCGTTACTTAAAATGTTTCATCCTGTTTGAACGAAATCAAAAAAAAAACAAGAAAAAACACCTGAATATGATATTAATGATTGACTTTACAAACACTGTCTTGGTGAATTTGTTCTCTCCAGCAGAGGGCGCTGCAGCTGCATAGAGAAACTAAACAGACATAAAGAACAGAAACACCTCTTGTGATCCCCTGCTATTTGTATATTTGTATAGTTGTATTTTATATTTAATCTGTATCTATCTGTATTTATGTTCTACTGTAGTGTTATCTGTATGCACCAAGGGTCTGAGAGTAACGCAATTTCAGTTCTCTGTGTGTATGTGCTGTTCATGTGGAAGAATTGACAATAAAGCAGACTTGACTTCTCTAATGGGTGTAGTTCCCTCCAGACATCTATTAGGCCCATTTCTGCACATATATGGTTCATGAATTTTGTTTTATGTTTTTTGTTTCTTTTACAGCTTGTAGTATCTAAATCATGATTTAGCACTATGTTTAGGTCCCCTCCACATATGCAAACCCCCTCCATTTCCTTAGCCACAATATCAAATAATAATTTATAATATTGTTTATTACTTTCCGGTGGAGCATACACGTTCACAAAAGTAACCATGTTATTATTAATTGTTCCTTTAATAATAACGTATCTCCCTTCCTTATCCTTTATTTCTTTATGACACTCAAAATTAACACCTTTTGAAATTAAAATAATGAACCCCCTCTTACGAGGGGTTGGACATGAGCTATAAAAGATATTTTTAAAAGCAAATTTTTTCAATTTTTCATTTTCTTCATTTGACAAGTGTGTCTCTTGCAAGAACAAAATATGCTTCTTTTCCTTTTTCAATTTAGCAACCACTTTAGCCCTTTTGGCTGGGTTCCCCAAACCATTAACATTCAAAGACATTATCTCAATATCTCTCTCCTGCATTTAACTCTCTCTACAACAATCCTCATTGAGGGATGACCCCACTGGCTAACATTTGAACAAGTATGAACAAATAAACAACTTATACATAAATCAAAACATATCGAATGAACTGAAAGGATATCAACTGACCTCCAGATGGGAATGTTCACCCACAACTTAGGGTTTAGAGTCACTGTCTCCAAAGAGGGGGAAAGCCTCAGCTGAACAGAGGGCCCCCTTCTAGATATAAGGTGCAGCCTGCTATAGGTTATTGCACCCTTACTAGATCAATTAGATGTCCATGTCTCCCGTAAGTCAAAGTATGTACTCAAAAGCCCCTTACTGTATTATTTAAATAATTTTACATATTGCACTCCAATCGTCGAGAACATTGTTCCCCCTTGACTTTATACATTAGTCTCTTGTTCATGTCGTCATATAGAGGGGTCTTTTACAAATTCACCGGGTTCTTTCGCCGAAAATCCTCCAGCCGTTTCCGTGCCCTTCTGCTTGCCTGTGCTCTCCGCTCTCTGCCGGCCTGCTGCCATGCTGACCTATTCCTCGCCTCGAGTCGTTCCAGTGACGTTGTGGGGCCAGCTGCATCTCCGGTATCAGCCACTAAATATCCTCTATCGCGCAGATCTTTCTCCACTTCCTTCGCTTCGTTGTACGTTTTTACTCCACTGTCCCAGTGAATCCTCATCTTAGTGAATGGGGTCTGAAATCGGATCCCCGCTTCTTTCAGGATTTTCTTAGCGTTAGCGTATGACTTGCATTGCTGCACCACAGCCGAAGTGTAATCATGATCAAAGAAAATCCTTTGCTCTCCGAGTGTGATTATTTTCTTCTCCCAGGCTCTTCTCAGGACTTTCTCCTTTGTATTGAATTGTAAGAAATTCACAACTATGGCCCTCGGGGGTTGATCTGCTTTAGGCTTCGGTGCCAGAGCCCTGTGCGCCCGCTGAATTTGACAGTCTGTGTCAATGTCGAGTTCTCTCAGAATAAGTTCTTAGACGAATTAAATACCAGACCCCTTCTCTGTCTCCTCTGGCACTCCCGAAAATGTGCAGGTTATTCCTTCTAGACCGCGACTCAAGGTCAGTCAGTTTTTCCATCATTTTTTTGTGTTCTTGTATGAGATCATGCATTAGGCCATCAGTCTCGGAGCTCCAGCACTCCATTTCTTCAACGCGTGACAAAGTGGCCTCAACTTTTGCATTTTGTTCCTTTATTTCGTGTTGTTAACACAATTTTCTTATTGATGTCCTCTTTAAACTCATCTAACTCGCGTTTCATCTGAGTTTTGAGTTCATCTTTAAACGTTCCGAGCTCCGTTTTCAGGTCGCTGCGGAATTCCTGTATCTGCTTGCTTATACTATTCAAACCCGCACGCAGAGAATCTGTCGTTTCCCGGTCGCCATCTTCTACTCTTTCTTGCATGTTGTCCATCTCTTTTCGGTTGGAGTGTTTTCCTTGTTTTTCAGGGTTTCTTTTAGATTTAGATTTAGTTCCTCCGCTCATCTCTCAGCACACGTAATTTCCCGATAAGTATGTAACGAGTTTAGCTGAGTTTTAAAACTTATTTAAGGGAGCTTGCAGCTTAACCTGCCATTTTGCTTCGCTGCCCAACCGGAAGTCGAGTTTTTATTTATTTTTAATGCCTTTTAAGGACCCGCGGAGACCCTAAGAACATAATTCAGCGCAAACATTTCTGTCATGCATTTGGCAAAAAGTTTTTGTTGACTTTACATTTTACCTTTGACATTTGAGGCAAGTGCAACTCTGGCGTCACCGGTGTATCTTTCATACTTCTTTGTGAGCAGTGATGTAATGGCGATTTAAACTAAAATCTTTCATTATTACGCTTCGAAACAATACAAAGATATGGGTTTCTCCTTGAACTTGCTAAAAATAGAAGCTGTTTACCATCTTGACCGGAAAATACGATTTTCACTGTCAACTGTTCATTTTTTTTTTTCTAATGTTAGTGAATGTTGACATTCGAGTGCACATCCTACTACACTGTTATTAATACGGTCAGCGGTTAGTATTAATATCATAAACTGAGAGCAATCTTTCCGTGATTTTCCTTACTTATCAAATGTTGTCAAATTGATCATCCAAGCATAAGATGATCCAGCGGCCGAACTTAAAAACAATGCGGACCGCCAGTTACCCTTCCCTGATTTACATCAATGAACAAATTTATCAAATTTATAATTTAACCTCTATAACTTAAATAAACAATTATTAATTTAGTCTCATGTTGAACAAATATTGAAATTGTGATATGGATTGAATATTGGAAACATGATGAGTCTAAAAGATGAAAGCAGGTCGATCCAGACCTACAAGTGTAATGTTTACTGACTATTAAATGGTAAGATCCTCAGAGAGGAATGAGTATAGAAGAAAGGAAAGAGTGTGTGAGTGAAGGTGGTTGTGAATGTGTGTAGATGTGTGTTAGTTACAGGATCAGAGAATAAAACCGTTCCTCTGTCATAGTCCAGATCAACTCTCACACGCTCAAGCTTCTGTTTAACAGGAAAACCAAACCGATCAGACGATCGGTACTGCACACTCCAGACATCAGTGTCAAAGAAAACATCTCCCTTCCTCTGGTTTGATGCTGTAGTTACTCCAAGAATCCAGAGTGAACTCTCTTTAACCTCCACATCCCAGCAGTGTTTTCCTGAGTTAAAACCCTCTGAACCCAGAACACAGAGATAAGAGTCAAATCTCTCTGGATTATCAGGAAGAGGTTGATTGTTCCAGCTGTTTCTCACACTGGTCAGATCATCAGACAGGACGAGACGTGGAACTGCAGTGTTTGGATCCAGAATCACAGGAGCTGATGAGACACAATCAACAGCTGCTTTTATGCTGATGTTCACATAATGATCAAGAGTGAACAGCACACAGATTGTTATGAATTGTGAGACTCGTCCTATTGAAATAATCAACTGGAATCCATTATATTAAATATAAAATATGATAATTGTGTTTAGTGATGCTACAGCTGTACTGAAAATGACTATTGATTCTGTTTCCTCACCTTGATGTGTTGAACTGTTTCCTCAAACCTTCCTTTCATTTGATCTCTCTTTTTAAGTTTCTCCTGTAAGGACTTCAGTACTGTATTGAGCTCCTCCTAGAATTGAACAAAATAAAAATACATAAAACACCAGATTACAGTAAAGAGAAGAGAATACAGTGATCATACAGTGCTGTTTTTTGTGTATATCTCACACATAATTGATTCAGAAATTCAAAGTAAACATAAAACAAACACAACCTGAGTAAAAACAAAATACACTTTAATAGAACTTTTTCAACAGTATGAATTTGATCAGTTACCCAGTGACCACTTTAGTTTACACATAAACAGAACAAATCAGAGCAGAGTATATGTCATTTGAAGTTGAGTAAAATAGCAGAGAGAAACACTGAGTGCATGAATGTGATGATATCTGTGTTTATTATGACTTATTGTTCTTTACATATGAAACAAGAGACATTTGTCCTACCTTATATGAAGGGACAACTTCACTGATGGGTCTGACTGTGTGACTGACGTGTTTTTGTGAAGTAAAGCATTCTACACACACAGATTGTTTGTCCTCCAGACAGAAGAGTTTGAGTTTCTCACTGTGTAAACTGCAGATCTCCTCAGATCCTGATGAACGGCTCTCATTTCTCTCCTTCAGGAACGACTCACACAAGTTTTGTAATGCCAGATTTATTGGAGGACAATCTCTCGAGGATCTTCTCCTGCAGACGGGACACTCCTGAGTTTTCTTGGTTCTCCAGAACTGTTGAAGACACTCTTTACAGACACTGTGACTACATGATAAAATAACAGGAGTCTTGAAGATTTCACAGCACACAGGACAATTATAGTCATATTCAGCTGATGAAGCCATTTTCACTGTTTAAGCTTCAGCAACCTAAACTTTACTTTCACTTTCTGAACGACGGTTTCACAAATGAATAACCATGAGAATCACAAAGATCTGCTGTCTGTTCAGAAACAAACTTCCCAAAAATGCTTCGTTGTCCACTGATGGCTGATTCTTGTTTGCTTTTGTCAAAGAGAAGAAAATCAGTGACAGAAAGGAGAAATAACAAGTCAGTCTCTTCCTGGTAAGTGTTGTAAGAGGGTGGAGTTTCTGATCACCTTTGGGTGTTTAAACAGGTCTGACAACAGCAGGATTTCTTCAGGTTACATTTTAATAAAATGCATTCAGAAGTAACTTGCATTGAAACTTTCTCAAGTATAATGCTAGAAAACCTTAAATCAAACACAAAAGAACAATGAAAAACACAGAGTTCCTCCAGGGTCTGTCATGTCAGATGATTTCTTCACATGCTGAGAATCACGTCGAGAATTTTAACGGTTCTGCTTTATGTAACAATTTCAATGAATCCGTGTGTTCCTTCCCTAATTGTAAATTTGCTCATGTTGTAGCTTCTGCAAGGACCCACACCCGAAATCGGTTTGCCCACGGTGGTTCAAGCCTCCTCCCAAAGCGAAGGTCTCTACTCTGAAAAAATTCTGAGTGGTCACCCCTCTACTCCCATTAATGTGTCTGTACTTTCTTCTTATCTCTCTTCTCACCCTGAGCCGCTTTTCGTTGATTTCTTAATTACTGGTCTTTCCCAAGGGTTTCGGGTAGGAGTCCTTTCCCCTCTCTCTACTACTTTTGTATCAAAAAATTTACAATCTGCTCTCGGTGAACCAGACGTGGTCTCCGCTTTGCTCGAGAAAGAAGTTAATAAAGGTTACGTAATCCGTCCGCTCTCTTCTCCTCCATTTAGTCCTTTTCGGGTTAATTCGCTCGGAGTCGCCACCCGCAAATATTCAGGGAAAAAACGGCTAATATTCGACATGTCTTCTCCCCATTCCAATTTCACAGCAAGTGTTAATGAATGTATCCCTTCAGAACCTTTTTCTCTGCATTATGCTTCAGTCGACAACGCTATCCGTTTAATTAAGTTAGCTGACCAAGGTGCTTGGCTAGCCAAAGCCGATATTACGGACGCTTTCAAAATCATACCAAGTCATCCTTCTGATTGGGCTCTTTTTGGCGTCAAATGGAATTCCAATTTCTACTTCGCAGTCAGACTCACCTTCGGTTGCCGGAGTAGTCCAAAAATGTTTAACTGTCTCTCAGAAGCGCTGTGCTGGATCCTGTTG